TTATTATCTCCAATTATGCCTTACTTTATTTCATCTTTATTATTTACTTAAGTATTTGCATCCTTTCTAGAAAAAAAACGTATTCTCCCAATTTTTTAACTTCATTTAAATATTTTGCAGTTTATAATTAATTACTTTTGTCAGAAAGGAAAAAAAAATAAGGAAATTAAGTAACTGCATTTTAACATTGTGAAGAAATAAATTCTTCTTTAACCATAGATGAAACAAATTTTATTTAAAGTTGTGTCGTCCAAAATTTTTTTGTATAAGTATCTTTGCACAGAGACTGTTTGCACATTTTTAGATGAATTTGTTTTGCTATAAAAAATCATCTGCTTGGAAATTTTAATTGAAACGATATTTTTGAAATTGTAGATTATTATCCGCTATCTGATAATTTTGTTTTCATGCAAAATGGCGCTCATAAAGAAGAAATAGATGGAATGCTGTGTTTGCGTACTTTTCGAACAAAATTATTCGTATTTAATTATTAAATAATGCTGTGGATGTCCTCATTTTTCAGTATCTAAAGCAAATATATATAATATTGTCAATAATGTAGAATCGGTACTTACTGTCTAGGAATATGATGTTCGTAAACTTACTTCTTAGGTGGCTGTCTAGGGGCTAATAAACTAGTCCGATTTATGTAAAACTTGAATATTTAATGAAGCATGAATAGTTGCTACAAACTACAAAGTAATTACATACGTAGGAAATAGGTGAGATTATTTACAAATGAAGAGAAGGAATCGTCTTTTATATTCAAACATCTTTCAGTCGCGTCATCGCCTTAACGGCGGAATCGTCTGACTTCCATCATCGAGAAAGTGAAAGATTTATTCTCACAGCTTGTCGCGTCATCCGATTATAATGAACGATGCCATCCCACAATAAGAAAGAAAAAACATGAAAGTTTGGCTACAAAGGAGACAATTGCTTAAAATACAGTCATGTCAATAAATTAAGGATAATGCAAAATTAGGCAAAGGAATAGTTAGAAGCAAAACAAATTTGACTTATTTGTAAAAGATTATTTATTAAACAAAAGGTAAAGAGCAAAAAAAGATGCTATATGTTTGATATTATTAAAAAATTAGCGATTTTTTCTCCCTGGAGCAAATTACAAAAAACCCTATTTACAAAAAAACAATATTACATGGTTGGTATGATTGTTAATACATTGTGTGTCTCCCAGATGATGCAATACAGTCCGTACAACGCCTAGGCATGCTGAGTATCAAATTATCGATCTGATCTTGGGGGATATTACACCACTCAAAAAGCAATGATCTCCGAAGTTCCGGTAGACATGTAGGAGGAGGTTGACGGGCTGCAACTCGTCGGCCAAGCATATCCCACACGTGCTCTACCGGATTCAAGTCCGGTGAGAATGCTGGCTAGTCCATACGGGTGATATCCTCCGAATGAAGGCATTCGCTTACGATGTTTGCACGGTGAAGAGGGGAGTTGTCATCCATAAACACAAATTGTGCGCCCATAGCGCCCTGAAACAAACGTACATGTTGATCCAGAATGACGTCCCGATAGATTTGGCTTGTCATGGTTCCAATTTGAATATGCAGGTCAGTTCTGGAACCCAGAATAATTCCACCCCAAACGAGCACTCCTGCACCACCGTAACGGTGTCGTTCAATGATGTTTTCTTGGTGGTAACGGGTACCTGGAGCTCTCCATATGAAAGTCCGACGAGAATCAGACTGTAAGCTAAACCTGGACTCGTCGGAAAACATCACACAAGCCCACTGTTGCCGTGTCCACAATGCATGCTCCCTACTCCAGGCTAACCTCAGGTGACAGTGAGTTGCAATAAGTGGAACGCATCTGACAGGTCTACGAACATATAGACCAATCTGCCCTAAGCATCTGTACACGGTCTGCCTCGAAATTGTCGTACCAGTGGCTGAAGAGAGCTGACGAGACAGGTCTGAGGCTGTGCTCCGCCTGTTTCTTTTGGCAGTAACTGCCAAATACCGGTCCTCATTCGGCGTTCTAACTCTGGGTGACCTGTGCTGTAACGTCTACTCACATTACCATCATCTTGGAATCGTTGCCAAAGCCTGGAGATGACACTGTAGGCAATTCCAAGTTCGTCTGATACTTCCAGTTGGGTACGCCCACATTCCAGACGGCCGATAATTCTACCACGTAAAAAATCATCCAAATGCGTCCTTTGTGTCATAACTATTCGGTTATTGCACTGAAATGCTTATAAAGCGCATGCGAACAATTTTACTTCTTTGCCTGTATTCCTTATATATCACTCTCTTACACTCTCGTCATTGTGACGTACTATCTGTGTCATCTGGTTACTTCCTGAAATTTGCATATGATTCTTGAAGATGTGTGTAGTGATTTTGCAGGTGATATATTTATTTTAGAATTCGATTTCCGCGTGACTCCGAATTATCCTTAATTTATGGACATGAGTGTATATCCCTAAGGAAAACCCGGAATGTTCCGAATGTTGCAAATATAAGAACTTTAAATGAAAATCTTCGAAGTCAAAGTACAGTTGCTTTACCATTCAAATACTCAGTGTCAACTGTAAACAAAGTGATTAATGCTGATTTCAATCTTAAAAAGTCGAAAAACCGTAATGTGAATCTTCTTTCTTCTCGACATATCGCCAAAAGTAAAACGCGCTGCAGAATTCTCTATGAGAAACTATTATTCAGACAAAAATGGAAAAATATTAGCACAGTAGATGAATCTTGGGTATATTTAAATGACGCAATAAAAGAAGAAAAAATCTTAGAAATTTGTTCAAAGAACCTAAAGGAATGTTTTCAAAGGCATGTATGATTGTTGCTGGTTTTTAATATAATGACAAAAAATATATTAAATACAGTGCAGAAAACTGTTAAGGTTAACTTGGCATATTATAAGGAATATATTTTATACCCAATTTTGAAATACGAAATAACATCAAATACAGTGCCATCAATCAGTAGAACTTAATTAGACAAAACTAGTAGCCACACGTCAAACATTCACTGTTAATGTCCTGGAAAAAATGGAACAAGAAGCGTGTATCAATGTCATAACCCTTCGCTCATACCCTTATAAAATTGCCTGATGTATCACGAGAGATTTTTGAAGTTTTGTACTTTTAAAAAGCGGAATGCCCAGATGTCGACTTTTAATCCTCCTTGGACTTTGAAAAGATGTCTGAGAGGAATTGGGTTAAAATATCTCATTCAATACTAAAAAACGCTTTATTAACGGTGAAATTACGGTGTGAAAAGATAGTGAAGAATACGAGTTATCAAACGGAACATTTCAAACACAAAAATACACCCACTTCCAAAACTTAAGCACGGAGAGGAAAATGCTAATTTCCGGAATTCAATCCAGAATTGAAGAGGATGCAATTCGCTGCAGAGGTAGATGGAAGTATGCAAATATGTTAGGTAACAGCCAATCGCGCTTTCATGTCAAGAAATATGCAAAAACGGCAGTCTTATAAGAAGCCAGCTTTATGAAGGGTTACAGAAGTTGATAGTAAGTACTAATAGAAGGTGTATAAAACTTTCGTAAAATTTGTTTTCATACCACCTTCTATTCATAGAAATACGTATTTCTATGGCTTCCAGAAAATGAATGGAAGATTGAGCGCTGGCGTGCTGTGGGGCGCATTGAAGCAGGACAGTCGATCACCGATGTTGCTCTTTTCTTCGGCGTTCATCATTCTGTAATTTCACGTTTATGGAAACAATTCGAAACCACACAGACATGTGTCCGAAGGCCCGTAGCCGGTCACCCAAGGGTTACAACCCCCGCGGAAGATCGATATATTGCTATTGTAGCCAAGCGGAATCGCATAGCGACCTCCACACGTGTGATATCTATGGTTACAACGTCCATTGGTAAGGCGATATCTGCAGCTAATGTACGCCGAAGATTACATATGGGTGGGCTGTACGCCCTTGTACTCCGAGTTTGTGTTCCTCTTTTCGTCCAATCAAGAGGGCACGGTTACAGTGGTGCCGGGAACATGTGAATTGGAATGTGTTTGACTGGGGCAATGTCATGTTTACTGATGAGTCAAGATTTGCTCTGGAGCCATATGACAAGCGTATAAGGATATGGCGTGAACAAAGAACACGCAATCAGTCCAAAACATCACCGAACATTACGCATTCCGAGGCGGAAGCATTATGTTGTGGGCAGGGATTTCATCAGGATACCGTACCGACCTGCACATCTTTAAACGGGATTCTTTGACGGCTGTCCGGTATCGAGATGAAGTTCTAGAACCCATTGTGAGATTGTACGCTGCAGCAGTTGGCCCTACGTTTGTTTTAATGGACGATAACCGCACGTGCCCGTAGAGCTGACATCGTCGATGACTACCTGGAGAGTGAAAGGATTACGCGTATGTCTTGGCCAGCATATTCGCCCGACCTTGATCCCATTGAAAATCTTTGGAATTCTCTCGGCAGTGCTGTATCTTCACGTTTCCTACCTCCAGCTACTCTTAATTGAGCTGGAAACTGCTCTACAAGAAGAATGGCAATTGCTTAATTTTGCAGTGGTTGACCACCTAATTGAAAGTATGGTCACAAGGTGTAAACTATGTATACAGATGAGGGGGATCACATACTCTATTAATGTCCTTTTTTTCATTTTATGCTGTTTATTTTCACTTTATACATAATTCTGTTTAAGTCTCCAGTATGTCATTATCTGATAACCTACAAAAATTTAATATTGTTTTCATTTCTGTATAATTATTGATTTTGTTTTATGCATACACTTATATTCTACTTTCCTACCGAATTTTGTGTCAATCAAAGCAGTATTCATTGATTTTTTGTTTGCATTTTACATTTTCGCGCTTAACTTTCGGAAGTGAGTGTATTTTAGGTAAAATATTTATGTAAATGCAATGAAACTCGTTTAAAAATTGTACGAAGAGCCTCTGTAAGCATTTTTTATTAATAGAAACACTAATAAAACAAAGAAAAATATTTCAGATTATTTGTGGATTACGAAGAAATGGCTGGAAATAAAAGCACCCAACTTATGGTAGTGAAGAATCTACCAGGTTCTCAAGCTTGTGAATATGAAACAGAGAATGTGTTAACCAACACAGATTCCAAAAATGTGACACTGAACGAAATTACATTGGAGCCTGGAGAAAGAAACATTGTTGGTAAGCATTTTTCTAAATATTTAATAATCCCATATTTATCGATTTCTAAAATACCATTTAATTCATCAGTAACGATATTTTATAATTCTAAGAAGTTACAACAAATAATAACAAATATTTTCTGAAAAAGAAATAAGGTTTCAAGACTAGGTAAATAATAATTATAACATTTCATTTATTCAGACAGTACTTTTGTAGTGTACATTTTAAAGACCTTCTCCTCAGTATCATAAACACAAAAGGAAATTATAGACATAATTGTTAGCAACGAAATGATTAAATTAAGCCAGAACAGGTTCTATATATCGTATTCTTAGGGAAAGTTTAATCGGTGTTTATGGTTTGAATAGGCGTTTATAAATGAATGGTTCGGTTTTAAAAATTAATAATAAATCGATGCATTACTTTATGTGGGCAATCAGCGTAAACTTATCAAGTTTGTGACGTATTAATAACAGTCCTTCAAAATGTGCACACTTGGTCACACGACATTCATCTACACACGGTAGTCAAATTCTTATCATATTCGATATAGCATGTCTGCCATGACGGTCTTCAGTGCATGCTTTATCCGATCACATACTTCTTCGAGGGACACGGGCATTGGCGGTACACAAACTCGGTTATTAACAAATCCCCAAAGAAAGAAATCGTATGGTGCTAAATCTGGCGAACGGGGGGGGTTGCTGTCTGCTGTTGTAGCACTACTAGTCCAGGTTTGGTGAAGAAAAGTATTAAGATGCTCTCTTACATTGCTGTGAAAATCGGGCGGAGCATCGTCCATTTGCAAAATGTAATCATCATGATTGTTGTTCAGCTACAGTAACAACCAGGTTTTCAACACGTCTAAAAATGAACCAACGATTACTGTTTCTTGTTCGAAGAAAAATGGCCGTGCGCTTTTTCGCGAGACAACGGACAGAAAACGTGCAAGAAACTCACGCTTAACTAAAACTACAGATATTGTTCCCCTAATGATGGATATTTGCCTGTTTGGCTATGGCCACACGTAAGGCCCGAAATGGTCACCATTTTATTGTCGAGACACCTAAAAGGCGACCACCAATGCCTCATATGAAGGGATGAACAGACGCAGCAGACAAACATAAAATCCCCGAACCGGGTCCGATTTGCAAACCCATACGGAGTTTGGATATCTATGGTGTAGGGGATCTCGTCCTCGCGGGCGCAACTACCGTAGACCTCGCCCGGCTTTATACAAAGCATTGAGCAGAACAAATCTTAGATATGAATACAACTTAGTAATTTTGCCTCTGGGCACCACTCCATCGGCTAAACGTACATCGTAAAGTGCGATCTGATCACTCTGTCAGTCCCCGTCACGAGAACGGAATCGGGTCAAACCCCCGGGAACTTGGTCGACGATCTCCAATGTAGCTCCACCAGAACCGAAGAAACAGACACTACAGTACCACTACGGTCCCTGCCAAGCCTGAACTAACCTGAGTACAATACTCGGGTACTAGTCCTGGGAAGTCAAATTATATGCTCCCTGTGGTTGAGACTGTCTAGGTACAGATCCTAACCAGTACTTCCCAGACTTTCGCCTAAGTCAATCCCCGAGGGTGAAGGGACGAACAGTTCCGGGATTCTAAACTTTCTCCGGGATTTCAAACCCGGGCCCTTTGGCACCGCATTAGGCTCTCTTAACCACTATGGAGGCTGGGTGGCGAAACCACAGGTCTGGACGTTTCAAAACGGAACACAGAACACACAGAAACCCTTTTCCTGTTGCGGCGCCATCTTGGAAATTGAAGCTGCGGCTGAGCAGTAAGTATGAGAAACTTGGACAGTTGCCAATGTTTCCAGTGTAGGTTTTACCACAGGTAAAGTAATACATCAATTTATTATTAATTTTTAAAACTGCACCATTCGTTTATAAATGCCTTGTATTTCTCTTGTAAAGTAACCTTATGATTATATCGTATACACGTTCAAAGGCTCATGCTCGTCACTTAAATACGAAAGCCATTTCGAACCTTTTGTATCGCACCTTTTTGTAAATACTACTTCAAATTTGCTGGCCGTCAGGTTAACCTAGACCGGAAATCCCTGCTCTAAAATACCATTTTTAAAAATGTATTGATGTTAGTGAGAAATGCATATATAATGATACGATATCAATCTCTATTTTTATATTTCCATCGCTAATGGGTTATTGATATTAATCATCCTTGCTAAAATAACAAATGATAAAACTAGCAGCATTTCAGCTTCCTTTAATTAGCATAAAGATCCTTCAAAATTTCCAGAACCGAAACAGTAACAGTTGGTTAAAATGAATGCTTGTAAAAGTCCGGAATAACTGCAGGATTTTTATCGGATTTCATTATTTTCATTCACTGAATTTCATTACGCCTGTAAGAAATGCAATTATATTTTTGATTTACTTTGAATGATATGCATAATTTATTACCATTTAAATTTTACACATAAAAGTAATATTTTTAATTTTATTTCGTTTTTGACATTTAATCTTTTTCTATTCAAATAATTAAATTAAATTTAATTTGTATATTTCTAACTCGAATTAAAATGAATTTTTTAATATGAGAGGAAGGTTCAGCCAACTCCAAAAGCATAATGATACAAAATTAATTTACAAGGAACAATTAAAATAAGGCTGAATAATTTCAGCAACTAAATGCATAATGAAAGTATTGAGAAACATTTTGTAGCGTTTTATAATTCATGATACCAATAAATAAATAAATAAATAGAAAGAAAACAACAAAAACAAGAAAGTAGAAATATGTTTTACTTAAGAGGCTACTTAAGATTATAAATAGCATACGTGCTAAGCTACTATTATCTACGATACAAAAGATAAAGTTTAACCCTTTCATTCTTAATAGAAGAATAAATTAATTAATCACGATACCCATTCGGTTATTGTTTGAGTTATGAATATTTGCTTTGCATTAGGTGATGTAATGCTAATTAAAATATATTTTAATTCATTTCCAGTGCGCCTGGTACTAGAAGAGACTGGATGTGACATCATATGGAGCTTACAAATAAAGGTACAAGAACATGAGTGCTCCAAGAATAAAGACCAAGTGCTTTGCTCAGGGAAGGGTTTTTGCGATAATTTTTCAAACACGGTAAGAATATAAAGCATTCAGTCCTATTGGAGTATTTAATGTTGATTGACCCACACAGTACTACAATTCAATACGGCTGAAATGTCTAAGTACATTTTATGGAGACAAAATGGTTAAATATTTGTTTTGAGTTTTAAAAGTAGTATAATTCAAATTATAGTATATTGTGTTTAGTATACTGTTGTACGCGTACGGGTTCGTAATAGATCGAATGCAATCAGGTCCGAAACTATGTTGGTAAAATTTATTTTATCAAAATAAAAATTTCAGAGTTCTGGAACGTTTCACAAATAGTCGTACAGCTCTTCACATTTATTTATTTACCATCAGATTGTAGAGTCATTAGGCTAATTGGAAGCAGGAAAGAGGAAAAATATGCAACCGCCTTCGCCGGGAATCGAACCACTGACCTCTGGAAATACCGTCCCAGTGTGCAAAACCACTACACCACGAAAGCTCGGTAGGGAAGTGGGAGAAATACCTTATAAGATGAGCAGCTGCAGCGTCTTTAAGACATTCAGTCTTTATGCCAGTGACGGATTCATCTACCAACTGGGTTGTTATATATAAAATTCAATAAAGTTTTAGAATTTTGATAATTACATAATAAAAATTAAATATCAAGAAAAAATATATATACATAAATAGGTATAATAAATAAAAATTAAAAATTTAGAATTAGAAAATGCCTAAATACAATATTGTTGTATATGAAGTCATATAGTATTAGAATTTTGAGAATTATATAATAAAATTTTAAAATAAATTAAATATATAAATATATAATACCTAAGTAAATATGTAAGTAAATGGAACATAAATACGTAAGTAAATACTTAAGAAGATCATTACAAATTAATGTACGAGAATAGTAGGGGCTGAGAAGGTAAGTTTTGCAAAGAGGTTAGAATAAGAGTGTAGGTTTTCATTATGGAGTTCTTGAATGGAGAACTCTTTACATTATCACAACGTGCAATAAGTAGTGCAACAACATTTCAAACTACTAAGAACGTTAAACGCAAAGCAATGCAAAGCGCACCTAAAGGAGCCATGCTAACTCAGAGATATCTCAATACTCCTAACTTAAGCTGAACTAACTGAGAGTAGATACTCTCTGCGGTTTTATACAATTTTCGCCTGGCCGCCGAGATATTTCTAGTAATTTCTGCTTATCGAAATTACTGGAAGGCATATGAGATCCGAATGCGGTTACAGTTACACAGAACATAAATTACAGTTAGTAAATTACACTATTCATTACAATTATATAGGGTCAAACCAAAATGTCGCCAAGTTTGGCGACTTTCGATGATTTTTCGCCAAATTTGGCAACAAAAAATATTCGCCGAAACCATTGCAGCTTTTGACAATATCTCGCTAAATAAGCGAGACTTGCCCCTGTATTTTTACTTTTGCAGCAATCTTCGCTACTCTAGACTTTTATGTTACTTTATACATAAGAATACATCAATGTCATATATCATTGCATTAATATCATCTATATATATATATTACTTGAAACGGACTTATCATTTGAACAGAATAATTTGACTAAATAATTTGAACAGAATATTCTTACATTTTCTGCAATACACATATTTTGTTTGAAGTTAGACAAAAGTGTTTATGCTCATTTTCCTTGCGAAATAATTTCATAAATCCGTTGCATATACTTGGAAGTCAATTCTGAAAGCGTATGCAAATAAAAAAAAAGGAATTAAATAATAAAAAATTATAACTCATTATCTTTATTCAAGGAGCAACCTGGAAAATTATCAAAGAAGCCGAAATTCTCAATTATGTCTGGATGAATTGCTATAAAAGAATGGCAAACGATTAACTTGAAAATGAAGTTTAATTTTTGAATTTAAAATTAGTTTAAAGTGAAATTTTTAAAGCATTCATTCAGGTATAATATTCTCAATTTGACTCAAAAGGAAGTACGTGTTTTGCATTCAAATAGTTTACAAATGAGTGGTAATATGAGTAGATAAGTTGAAAAATCAACTAAATATAATTTCGAATCAAAATTGAAATTTTTCTGGGAAGAAATATATAATAGCATACAAATTTTACATACAAAAAAAAAAAAAAAAAAAAACGTAGTATTATAGAACTTTAAAGAATTAAATATTATGAAATGGAGCATATAATTAGGAAAAAGTAAACAGTAAAAAATCAAAAAAAAATTACAAATTATTGCTAAATATGCAAAAAATTTCGTTAAATAAATGATCAATGTGAAACTTTTAGGAACCAACAAAAAGCAGACATATTAGGCGCCGAACAAAATTAGCAAATACGGCGGTGAAAACCTGAGGAAAATATTAACAGCAAAATGCTTAAAAGGTTACAAAACAATTATTAAATATTCAAATTTCGTAAAATAATAGCTCGTAAAAGCTTATTAGCTAAGGTTTGGTTTGGTTTATTTGATTACGGCGAAGCACACGAGGGCTATCTGCCTAACGGGAGGGTACATTCGTGGAGGACTTTCTATGGGAAACTGGCTTGTATGCACGATACGCATGGAGAAAATCACGAAGGCGCCCATGCAACTAGCCCATTCGCTGGGTTTTGGGCCTCAGACCGAACTACCAGTGTTCAGCGATTTTGCCGCTCGGCCGCTGGTGGGCCCTGTTAGTTAAAGAAAAGGTGAATTGCCCATCCTAATGTCACAATACATTAAAATAATATAATTTGGATTGAAAATACATATTTCTAATATAAGGATCTGTAAAAACTGAATATTGCAAATAAAAACATCTGCAAAAAAACTCAGCCTCGAATTATATCCTAATTTATTTTTAGCCGACTTTTCTAGCAGAGCGATAAAGATTTATTCCTAACACTGAAGTTTTAAAATAAATAGTTTTGTAATATAGGAGTTAAAACGTTTTATTTCTATTTCCTGAGAATGATTAAAAACATCTACTGAAAACTGCAAAAAGTTTACTGAAACTACAAAAAATATTAGATTTGTTAACTTTTTCGAAATAATTTTTTAATTTAAGAATGAATTAACATAAATATTTGCAGCATTTAAAATATTTTTCGGATGGTAGATACATGTCTACGAGCAACTGCAGCGAAAGAAATGGCTGTGTAAGAATTTTATGGACATGGCTACATGCGTTTTTATTTATCCCCTAGAACTATGGATACACATTAAGCATAATAAAGAATTACAAATGTTATGTAAAGATAAATGTCAGCGTTATAAATTAACATTAAAAGTACTTAAAGTTAAGCAAATATTAATCGCTTCCAGATCATTCATTTATCTTAATTTGAATAGAATATTCCGTATCTTCAAATTTCAAGAAGATATCGGAGAACGAATAAATTGATTGGCGTCATTTATTTCATCCCATTTTGGCTAAAGTTAATGGCTTTTCGGAAAAGTTTCAGAAAGCAGCAGCAAGGCAAAATCTGCTTTTTTGATCATCAATTTTTTCATCGTGAGCAAAATGGCATTCAGTATTAAATTCGTTACTGATCATTTGAAAACCTTTTAAAGAATATGTAGCATGTTTTAAATAGTTAAAATCTTAAGCTAGATCCCAACTGGAATAAATATATGTGGCTTATAAGGAATAGGTTATATTTTCTTTTCTTTTGTTTTACGTCCCTGTAAGAAGTACAGTGCCTTCGTGGTGTAACGGTAGCATGCTGGGCCGGTATTCCAGAGTTCCGTTTTTCGATTCCCGGCGAAGGCGTTGCTAATTTTTCACCTTTTCTGCCTTTACAAAAATACTAATGACTCTACAAGTGGCGCCCGAACTAAAAGGGTTGTGGATGATGATTCTCCGCAACCAGGATTTGGCGACTAGGTCTCCCTAAAACCCTAGTCGCCCTTTAAAAAGGGGAGTATATAAGGTATTTTCTCCCACTTCCCTAGCGTGCCTTCGTGGTGTAACGGTAGCACGCTGGGCCGGTATTCCAGAGGTCCGTGGTTCGATTCCCGGCGAAGGCGGTTGCATATTTTTCATCTTTTCTTCTTCCAATTAACCTAATAACTCTACAGTAATATAATCGTAAAAGATTTCGGGTATAATATTTAAACGAAAAAATCCATTTTGACCGTTCTTGGATCCTTGTGAACTATGTTTTTGCACGACTTGTGTAGGTACGCACGAAATAAAGTCTTTTTCCTAAAATGTATATAAAATAGATTCAGAAGAGATATTTTTTCCGTGACGTCTGTACGTACGTACGTACTTATGCATGTATCTCGCACACCCCAAAACGTGTAGTCTAAGAACATTAAAATTTTGTATATGGCACTGCTATAGCATGTAGTTGTGAATCTCTCTTCTTGGTTGCAATCGGCTGTATCGAAAGAGTACAAATATATATTATATACATACCCGCTGAATTTCTGCACCTTCAATGTCTTTTTGCCGAGTGAGAGCAAAAGTAAACTTTCAGTTTTATCCACCAAAAAATTTGCTTTGTTGCCCGATGGCCGAATTGCTTGTTTTTGTGTAGAAACTCTAATTTTAATTGTATAACTTATATTTTTTTAACTGTTGTTACTGTATTTGGTGTTTGCATGTATGTTTTGATGCATTTTATAATTTTTAATGAAGATGTTTGAGTTTATGTATTTTTGCCTTGCTGCGAAGTGAAAACTGAAATGAGTGAATGAGAAATATATCTCTAGTGAAATTTGAGGAAATGAGTTTAAACGAAATGCAGCAAAAAATGTGTATAATTTAGTAGACGGTCTTAGGAAGTCACATGGTGTCCAAATTAGATTTGTTTGACCTATATGTAGCTTAGTGGTCTGGTTGCTTCTTTGGTCACTAATTATCACTTTAACAGAGATTTTTAGAATGTTAATTGCTTGCCGAATCGTTGCATCTGAATTATTCTATGACGAGAAGTAAACATTATAAGGAAATCAATATTTAAAACAGCATAAATATTTCATCCCATAATTATTTTGAAAAAATGTTATTTTTAGATATATGTAATAAATATAATTTATGATAACATTAGATATATGTAATAAATATAATTTATAACATTTAGATATATGTAATAAATATAATTATGATACATTTAGATATATGTCATTAGATATATGTAATAAATATAATTTGTGATAACATTTAGATATATGTAATAAAATAATTTGTGATAACATTTATATATGTAATAAATATAATTTATGATAACATTTAGATATATGTAATAAATATAATTTATGATAACATTTAGATATATGTAATAAATATAATTTTATGATAAGCTACATTTCTTCTTTCTGTGGGTAAACTTGTAAGGTATTTCATCTTTCTGTGGATACACGACTAATTTGACTGGTCATTTTAGAATATTCGTCGAGTACGTTTAGTAACAAAATGTGTATTTAGAATGCTCACGCTTTCAAAATATAGGTTTATATAACTAGATTACAATAGCTTATCAATCGCATAAAATCAAATTTTGCACACCATCAATCTTCCCATTAGAATTGCTTTACAGGAATAAGGGGTATTAGTGTGTGTGTGTGTGTGTGATTACAACCTCGAGGGCTATCTGCCTAAGAGGAGAGATGCCTTCGTGGAAGACTTTCTAAGGGAAACTGGCTCGTATACACGTTACACATGGGGTAAACCATAACGGGTATTAGACTTTGCGAAATAACGCTAAATGAAATCATTAATAAATTATATCCTCTAATACAGGGGTTCTCAACCGGTGGTACGCAAGAGAAAAATAGGTGGTACTCAAAGAAGCGAGGTATTTTTAACTATTAAATTCAAAAATTAAAACCCTAACATCCTGATTGAGTTTTTTCTCTAACGCTCGTAAATTTATGAGATCTGAGCTTTGTTCAGGTGTGGTGGTAGTAGTAGTACTTTGTAGTGGTAGTACTAAAGGATTTCATGAGAACCGTTGCTAAAATATTCTGAAGTTTTGAAAACCGTAATTTAATCAAAGAAGATTTGTTAAAATTGCAGTTAAAGCAGGAAAAATAAATAAATAAATAGAGGAATAGAAACAAACAAAACGAAATAGACATTTTCGATCATTAGTTTGTAGCGAGTGATGTGTGTAATGTCTTTGACATCTAATGTGAGTGATTCATCTCTGTCAGAAATAGCCTTCGGCCTAGGCGAGCGAAAGTCACAGAAATTTCCTTCTCATTCGCATTCTCATTGAAGTGGAATATATTTCTTCAATATTGGAAAGATTTTCTTTTAAATCTTTCCCTAATATTTCATTTAATAGTCAGATAGAATAAAATATCTTAATCAAGATTAAAATATTTTAATCGAGGAAAGATAATGTTTCTCTGCTTGTTCATTTATTTTAATCTGTATAGTGTTTCTATACATGAATAAAATATATCCTACTCATATTTTAATCGCAGATTGTATCATAATCAATTTGTCGAAGTAAATATCTATTTCTGAAAACTTGTACATATACCAATAATTTTAGTAATTATTTTTATACGGGTAATTTCAGTACATATACGGATAATTTTAGCGAAATTATATGTGAAATTGTTGTATTTGTGTTATATAATGTAGCATGAAAATCTGAAGAAGCGAAACTTGCCGGAAAAATATAGAATACTAGGGCAAGTCTGTTTAACATTGAGTAAATGGTTATCTCCCTAATTTGGCGAGATATCGCCAAGCTAGCAGCGGTTTTGGCGACTATTTTTTGTCACCTACTTCGCAAGAAATCGCCAAAAGTTCCCAAACTTGGCCACCATTTGGAGCTATTTTGTCCGGTTCCTGTATTATTGTAACAGGCATAGTAATATGTACCTGTAACCGTAATTCGAAACTAATACGTTTTCCAGTAATTTCGAGAAGCAGAAAGTACTATAAATATCTCGGCGACAGGGTGAGAACTGTATAAGATCGGAAAGAGCATCTGTTCTGAGTTTTCTAGTTGTTAGCTCAGAGTTACTATGAAGAGCTTCGCCTTTTAGATGCACTATGGTGTGTTTAAAGTTCCTAGTAGTTTGAAGTGTAACTTTTGATCGTTCTGTATGATACTATGAAGAACTATACCAATGTTTTTGTGGAATGTTCCAGAACTCTGAATTGTTCCTTTTGATAAAATAAATCTTGTTAACCTCTCATCGGACCTATGTGCATTAAATTCATTACGAATCTATACGCAAACAACAATATTATTTCTTCGCTAGAAAACTAAATCTTTTGCAAACACTCTTTTACTATTAATGGTGTACATTAAACTCAGATGTTTCTGCTCGAGAGAAGTGGATCCTTGTATATGACGTTTACCACACTCAGGGTTAATCTATATTAAAATAGCGTGATTAGTAAAGTTTTCTTTGCTGTAAGGACTTTGTGTAGAACTGGTACGCTCATGCTTAATGACATTCCCATTAAATGCGCCCGTCGTTTTCTAATGCTTTCCTACTAAATGCATAAAGTCGTTCTTGCTAAATACTAAAAATATATTTTTTGCTTAGAAGAGGACGCAGAAAAGCATTGTGAGGTATAATTAAAGTTGAATGCTATTACTTATCTGTACATAATTATCATCTTGTTGCAACGCATCGTGAAGTAGAAGTTGGAAAAACCTAAGTAATTTTTTTTAATATTAGATTGATTGAAACATTTTCAGAAAAGAGATAAAGTATTGTTTCCCTGTCAAAAAAAAAAATAGTTCGTTTTGACCGCAAAAAGAATTCCTTTTTCTTCTTCTCTTTACAATGACGTAAAAATGCCCTGCATTGGAATTTTATGCAGCAAACAACAAACTCTTCCGAAAAAGCATTTTGAAAGCTAGTTCATCAAAAGGGACAGCTACCTGACTCCTCAACTTCTGCATAATAGACAGGACTGATAGAGTCGTATAGCCTTTAAATAGGCTTTTTTGGTGATTCCTCCTAGTATGAAAAAGTCAACATTTTCCCCTTTAGCTCGAATAAAATAAATTTGGAATGTTTCAACTTTCCTTTAAACCATTCTATATTTTATCATAGTTATCATCTTGTTTATTGTTAAACAAGCAGTCTCGTAAATCAATGCCTTTTTTAAATAATTTTATATTGCATTTTATAATTATTGTATTAAAAATGATTTTTGTAATCAATAGCTTTACATATTACTAAAATAGTTTATGTAACCAATAGCTCTCTGAAATCAGAAATAATTTCTGTAATCAATAGCTTTACATAATAATTAAATAATTTCTGTAAACAATAGCTTTCTGTAATCAGAAACAATTTCTGTAAGCAACAGCTGCATGTACAAAATGCATAAAGGGGATCAACAGCCTTATCCTAGCAGTATTATCATCTGAAAAAAACATTTTTAGTTTTAACTACTTAAAAATGATTTAATTAAACAAATTTATGTTTTATGATTTTCAAATATCAATAGAAGAAAGGCTAAGTAATTTTTGAAACGCATCTTCTTTAAGACACTATTGATTCTCCAAGAAAATGAATCACTTGTTTTGTTGTTTTTCTTCTTTTTTTTTAATGGTCGAAAGGCATTGCCGCAAGCAGCACAACACTGGCGTTAGCCCCCCCCCCCAAACGCCAAAATGTATGTTCTCAAAAAGGCCTTTTTCTGAAGCAGGCGTAAAAATAAGAAATAAGAAGTATTTTTATTAACGTTAGTCTCATTTTTATTTAATATCGTGTCTAACGGTCATTCTTCTTCTTCTCTCTAGGGTTCATTCTCTTGCAGATGCTGCGCTGGTTTCGTTGGTAAATACTGTGAAGAAAAGGATGGTTGCTACGGTAACCCTTGCCAGCACGGTGGATTTTGCGTGGACATTGCTGAAGGGCTCGTCGGAACAACATTCCAGTGTCTCTGCCCCCACGGTACTTATTCGCTTTTCTTTTATGGTCCTACAGAACATAGTAGCGAAATTTATTGTATATAGTCAAGCAAGTTATGTTGTCGAAACTGAATTCCTCATTGTATAAAATGTTCATGGTCCGGCAATTTTAAAAATATTCTCTATATGCAAGAACTGCAAAATGAATTGATCTGTCTTGTAAAAAGGTTAAATAATTACTTGGGAGCTGAAAAGCCTTTGCATTATCTCCTAAAAGATTGAGTTGCGATGCAGAGTTTATACTCGGTTGTAGCCATAGTCCGGTGGTACGTAAAAAGAAACAAAGTACTTTTAACTATTGAATTCAAAAATTAAAATCCCAACATCCAGACTGAGTTATTTCTCTAACACTCGTAAATTTATGCGATTTGAGCTTTGTTCAAGAGTGGTGGTGGTGGTAGTAGTACTTTGTAATGGTGGTACTAAAGGTTTTAAATTTTTGTTTAGGTGGTAGGCGTTGGTCAAAAGACTGAGAACCGCTGGTTTAAATATTTTGAAAAAATGTAATACCAAATATTATTTTTTGTGCTATTTTTATATACTGTGATGCATTTTTATCTTTATAGGTTTGAAATTATATAACGTCTGTTACAAACTATAAGAGAGAGGTAATGCCACAAAGCTTATTTAAATAAATGGTACTTTAATAATGGTACTATTACTAAAATAAATGGTACTTTAGGCAATTATTAGGTAGATGAAGAAATGAAAAATGTAAGTGTAAGTGAAAGAGTGAAACGGCTGGCGGCGATTTGGGTCATGTCATTTACATAAAGGATTTTCATAGGATAATTACAATGGCATCCAAACAAATAAGGAAATATTACAGTAAGTTGATACCTGAAAATATTTGATATGCTATAAATATAAAATATAATATTACATTTAAAAGAAATTTGCTTCATCTTAGAGAAATGGTCGTGCAAAAAATTGTAATAAGAACAATAATAAAGACGAAAATTGCGTGAAAATAGCATTTATCATAAGAATTCTAATGGATGTTCATTGGCCATTGGGAGACAGGAGACAGGACAAACTCAGACAGAGGTGGGCGAATGCTTGCATATGAATTCTTCCATAATCCATAGACTTTGAAAATAATTTCTAAGAAGATTTGAATGTTCGGAGAGAGGAAAGATGAGAGTTAAAATTGCATCCGCACATGGATATCTGCAGTTCTGAAGCCGATGGAACAGGATATAGACTTCAGCTTGATTCAGGCTTCTCTTGCTGCAGCTACGGGCACAACAATGTGAACAGCAATAATGATAGCATTATTTGCTGTTCACAGAGCATTTCCTAAGGGCTTCATGCGATTTGTGGAGACATCTGTATAGCGGTTCAATTACTACTAGAAACAAAGTTGCACTGTTGGGCACGTCTGCTTCTCACGTGGACTACAGAACAGTGGAGGAACGTAGTCGTTAATGATGGATTTAGATTTGGTTTGCAGAATGACAAGGGACTTTATTTGACATGACTAGAGCTTGTTATTATATATCACAAATTCTTGAAAGGTTATCTTTAGAAGGAATAGAACCTGTATTTGGGATGGAACGTCTTTAAGTTGTAGGATTCACTGCTGTGTAATTCTAAGTTACAGTTGAAAGTGAAGAATCTTAAGAACTAGTAAGCGAATAATCGTTTGAGTTCGTGTACAGGAAACAACAAGAAGGGCGAAATAACCCTTATTCCAATTGAAGTTTAACAAAACTCCGTCTTGGAGTTGTACAATAAAGCCGACACTTGGACTTCAACTTAAGAGACTAAGAATAAAACTAAACTAATCTTAACTAAAGAGATATAGCCAAAGCTATGAAAATTCTAACAGAGTTGGCCCCTTAACGCTAATTGACTGCGAAGCTATCAAAGGCCTAAAGTACGGCCGAGCTTACTAATAGCTTACGGGAGAGTAGCCTAAAAGGGGCGAACGCGTGCTAGCTAGAATATGTGGTATCTCTTTCCCTAAGACAGTAAAACTTCGCAGATAAGTACCGCTCTTCCTCATTAGCATTCAGATGTGATTCTAAAACTACGTTCTGGCCGGAAGTGGTAAGTTGAAATTATGAAGTGATAGAAAAAGAAGTTTAACTCAAATTTTAACTGTTAATAAAATTAACATAATCCTTACATGATAACTGTACAGACTTCCATACATTTCACCGAGAAAGTATGAATTCGGAAACGAAGTATACAACATCCATTATGTTATCTACTTACTGCTTTACACTACACCATCGAGCGGAAGTTTCTTCTCCAGGACATCACACAGAGCCCCATATAATGAAATAATATTTTCAGTCGGGAAAAGTAATGTAAGAAGTAGTATTCACTGAATGTGAAGCTCGCTCTTCTGACCTGCGTCTTATTGAAAACGTCTGGGATGTTTTAAGGAGATGCATTTTTGTTTATACCTTCTCTTCAGAACTTTAGTGCGTTTGGGAAAGCCTTGCAAGAATAGTGAGCGTTACACTTTAATGAACTTAAAATAACAATCGTTACCAGCTACTATCGTGTGATCTTTAGCGTCATTAAAAACACGACCACATGCATGTTTGAAGCATGAGACGAAACAAGTATTCTGTGTAAAACGTTTTCCTTATGCAAATGATAATTGAGAGTTAGTTTTGATGCACTACTAAACTATCGTCATTATATTATACTCTCTAACTACTTAACTAATATTCTGTAAAATACTTAATCTTAATAGTTCGCTAATGAAACTAAGTACGGTGTAGTTTTCTAGGATATGATAGTGCAGGACGGTGCTTAGATTTCAGTGAAATGTATTAGATAACATTATCAAATATTAACTTCCATATTAAATGTAAATATAGATGTAAAACAAAACTAAAGAAAAAGTATTTCCAAGTCATAATTACCCATTTCTTTCTTAAAGAGGAAAAAGTTTTAAACTAGAGATAAACGCACAATAATTTCGGAACTAGTGCTGTTTAGAGATATTCTATTTATGGTCGTTAGTAAGTTTATCATTAGTTCGTCCTATGGTAATTGCCTTCTTATCAAAACGAGTATTGGATAAATAACCAAAGAAAAAAGATCTTAAATGAGCACATTATAATGAAGCAAGGAGAACATTCTCGCAAAAATAAAGTAGAATCTCATTAAAGGAAATAAGACTTTAAATAGGATTTTAAATTGAAAAGAACATGTTTATTTTACACTAGAAACTACAGCTTAGTGAACAGAAGAGCAGAAAAACTATTCTCAAATAATTAAAAAATTAAATAATTGGTATGAATTTACGAAAGTATAAGAAGGGAAATAAAGAAAGACTTTGAGTAACACTTTACTCACGCTAGTAGTAATGATCGGATAGAAAATATCTATCCGAAAAATAGTTTTAAAATTGTATTTATTTACCAACGTCATGCGTTAATTCAGGCATAATTTTAGATTTGAGGTAAAGTTCTTAAGTGAATTTGAATTAGTTTTATTTCAGACATGTCCTGCCATTAGAAGACTCTAAATATGAATATTTATCCAATTAATAATCTCCTAAATATCTAGGTATTAACATTATTTGCTAGAATTTCTGGATCCTGTAGTTCTATGCCAAAGTTATATTCTTGTGCAACCAAAGCTCAGGTAAAATAAAAGCATTATTCAAAATTAATTGTCGAATTTAAAGTAAGAAATATAAAAATATGAAAACCATATTTATCGAAATTAATGAGATATCGTACAGTTTCTATGTTGACTTGCCCAGAGATGAATGGTTAAGTGGTTTATTCACCGAGCAACTCTAATGGCAAAAACATGGTTAAAATATCTTCAATAAAACTATCAGGTTCAATGTTTCTTCTAACCTTCTTCGGAAATACAATGACCTGACTAGGAACAGAGCTTACTAAAGCTATGTTCACTAATTGTAGTAAGTAGACAGGATACAGACGAAGGGTATACAAAACCCTTTATTTTTCTTTATATACAATGACTTCCGTACTTCGGAATACAATGACCCTCCACTCGGGGTCTAACGTAAAAGATATAAAAAATAAAACTAAACTCTAATTTAACTTTAGAATAATACAACGTGGAAGATTGGCCTTATAATAACAGGAAGCGTATGTAGCACAGAGACTGTGAACACTACAATACGTTTAATTTATCAAGAGGATTAAAACCTCTGGCCTGGAAGGCAAATAGCAACTGCGTAACTTCTAAGGTAAGCGGCCTGCTTCGAACTCACTGCTTCCTCTCTCTCGCTTGGCAAAAAGGCCACACTTAAATACTTGGCGTTCGCCAGACAAACTTTGCATAAAATCCTTCAACGCTTATAATTCTGGCCGGAAGTAGAAAATAAGAAGTGATAGTAAAGATTTAAAATAAAATAAACGTTAGTAAAACTTAAGATCCTTACATACTTCCCGCCAGAGTTAATTAGTTTGAAACTGAGGTCTAAAACGACCTTGTTGAAAACTTTTAGCTCTAGAATCTAACGCGAGGCCAATCTTTTACAAACATAACTTCGCTAGAAACTAGAAAATTTAAAAGAAAGAAATTTGTTACAATAGCAGCTCCCAGGATATACAACAATCTTTTTTTTTTTTTTTCATCTGTACTGCATCTAAACAGGAGCTTTTATTCAATTCTGGTTCCTTCCAGAGATCTGGAAGGAAAACTAGTTTTTAATGAAATGTTACACAATGACATTGGCAAGTAACATATAGAATATACTTCTTAACATTCTTATTTCATTCATGACTATTTTAATTATCTCTCCCCGTGCTCTCTGACATGTGTTGTAAAAGAACACCAAACACGAATGTGTTTCTGTCTACGTGTTCAACACTTCCTCCTACAATCAAAACACTAACGTGTTAAAATTCAACATAACGAGACCTCTTAACACACCCTAATTTCAACTCTAAACCCTGAGGTACTATTCTGAAAGTGGCTAACTCTAAAGTGTAGCGTCAGAGAGCCTAACTACATCATTCAACCTTTAACACATATTCA